GGGGGTGGGAGGGATGGGGTGGCTGGGTGATGGACATTGGGGAAGATATGTGCTACGGTGAGCGCTGTGAATTGTGTAAGACTGTTGAATCACAGATCTGTACTTCTGAAACAAATAACACAACATATTTTAAGAAAAAAGAAAAAGAAGAAGATAGCAGGAGAGGAAGAATGAAGGGGAGTAAGTCAGAGGGGGAGACGAACCAGGACAGATGATGGACTCTGAAAAACAAACTGAGGTTTCTGGAGGGGAGGAGGGTGGGGGGATGGGTTAGCCTGGTGATGGGTATTGAGGAGGGCACATTCTGCATGGAGCACTGGGTGTTATGAAGAAACAATGAATCATGGAACAGTACACCAAAACAAATTATGTAATATATGGTGATTAACATAACAATAAAAAATCTAAAAAATAAATAAATAAATAAATAAAAAATACACACAGAAAAAAAAATGGTAAAATAGGAATTTTCTACCATCTCCACCGCCCCCCCCAAAAACCCCACTGATTTTCACAGTCATACACTTAAGTAAAGAGAGTGCCTATGAAGAAGTTGAGCAGGGAAGACACAGCACATCATGGAACAAAACAAATCTGAGATTAGATAAATTGAGGAGGGCACAAAGAACAATTTCACTTTGCCTTCATCACCCCTGCCCATGTGGCACAACTCCAAGCCAAGAGAAACCTTCCAGCCTTGATTTCCCCATGGAGGCAAGTGAGAACATGTGAGTGAACACATAGCCCTCCACCTCTGGAGGATGCTGCCAAAGAGAATCTTCTTTCTAGCCCCATCCAGTATACTGAAGTGTACTGCTCCCTGGGGAGTGGGGTGCACCTTGCTAGGTGCCGTCAAGCCAATTACAGTCACTAACATGGAATGCATCTCATTTATTCCTTAATTACCATGAAACAATAATGATTATGTACTTCATTAAGTATGTGTCAGGTTAATTTAATCTTTTAGATTTTATTTGATGGCATTTATGAACACGATACATTTGTGCTCTGGCTTCCCAGTTTGTTTATAACACATACAAATTGGTCAACTGTCTACAACTTTAAAAAAATTTATAATGTTGAAGCATTTCTACTTGAGGAAATGAGGGACCATCACTTGATAAATAAATAGCACTTCCTATAGTTTCCTTATCAGCAGGGAGGCATCACGGCCATATCTTGGGCAATTTGGGTCCAGTGAGGATCAGATGGTGGATCATTTGCCTATGCTTATTTGAGGCAAAGTCAGGTGAAAAGGAATATTAGGAAGAGCTTTTTTTTTTTTTTAAGATTTTGTTTGTTTATTTGACAGAGAGAGAGAGAACACACAGGCAGGGACTCCATGTGACCTGAGCCAAAGGCAGACACTTAACCCCTTAACTGACTGAGCCCCCAGGTGGCCTAGGAAGAGCTTTAAAAAGGGCAAGGGGTGCCTCGGTGGCTCAGCGACTGCCTTCGGCTCAGGTCATGATCCTGGAGTCCCCGGATCGGGTCCCGCATCGGGCTCCCTGCTCGGCAGGGAGTCTGCTTCTCTCTCTGACCCTCTTCCCTCTCATGTGCTCTCTCTCTCTTTCTCTCTCAATTAAATAAATAAAATCTTTTAAAAAAAATAAATAAATAAAAAGGGCAAGAGGTAGTGCAAACAGGAGGCTGGCTAGCAGAGGGGAAAAGTGTAAGAGCATTGAATGAGGCAGGCCTGCCTTCACTCGGACTCTCTGAGCCTCACTATTCCAATATGTGAAACAGGAGTCATAAGTCCCACCTCATGGAACTGAAGTGAGGGTTACAGAAGTAGATCCAGAACTGTCCTAGCTATTAGCATCTTTAGAAAAATGTGGTATTCGGCCCGAAAGTAGCCTATCAAAGGGGGAAGATCGTCTTATTCTTTCTACCTGAATGGTGCTTACTGAAAATTATAGTTCACTGTATGAATATGAGCCTCAAACCCCTACATATTAGTTTAAACCATATGAATTTATTTGTATAGGTCAAAAATGGTCCAATAGGCGATTCTATGGCGTTCAACCTGGTATGAGTAATGGAAGTTCCTTGCTCACATCTGTCATCCTCAGTGCCTCTGAATCATAAGAACCATTTACCCCCTCTGATGAGGTAGGCTAAGCTTTCTCCAAGAATGCTAAGCAAAGCAGATTCTTGAGGGGAAAAAAACAAACAAACAAGAGAAAAGGAAGGAGAGGCAAGATGTGACCGGTCTAGTGAGTATTGAAATGCTCTTTAAAATCAAATGAAAGCCAAAAATAAAGGCTAAGAATAAGAAAGCCAAAAAAAAAAAAAAAAAAGAAGTAGATGCAGAACTGTCCTAGCTATTAGCATCTTTAGAAAAATGTGATATTCGGCCCGAAAGTAGCCTATCAAAGGGGGAAGATCGTCTTATTCTTTCTACCTGAATGGTGCTTACTGAAAATTATGGTTCACTGTTTTTTTTCTTTTAAGACTTTATTTATTTATTTGACAGAGAGAGACACAGCGAGAGAGGGAACACAAGCAGGGGGAGTGGGAGAGGGAGAAGCAGGCTTCCTGCTGAGCAGGGAGCCTGATGCGGGGCTCGATCCCAGGACCCTGGGATCATGACCTGGGCTGAAGGCAGACGCTTAACGACTGAGCCACCCAGGGCTCTCGGGGGGCAGTAAACCAACAGGGACCCTACAAACCATGGCACAGCCTCCATTAAGAATCTGTTCATGAGCCACTGGAGATGGCTTTCTTGCAGACCCCCACAAATGGTCCATGGGCACATACAACACTCAGTTCCTCAACCATACATCACCCAACCTACGGCCTGACACCAGCACACACAGGACAGCAACAAGAGTGAGGTTTTGTAAGCAGCGAGCAAGCATGTGCAGAAAGCATCTCCACTCTGCCAGATTGAGAGAAATCACACATATGCAGTCAGCACTGTCCTAGAGAAAGCAAACAAAAGGGAGACTCTCAGCACCCAGTCTGGCTTCACAGGATCAAGAGAAGGCCTTAAAGTTTGTACCACATTGTCCCAGGAAGTAGGAAACAAATATCCAACCATGCTGAAGGTTGAAAGCCTGAATGTGTCTGGATCAGAGCTATGTACTCATGCACACTCTGGCTAAAGTACTTGTTTTCTTCCACTGCATCAATTCTCACCAAAATATGATCAAGCATATAGAAACTGCATGTTCTCTCTCACTTCTAATTGATTTAAGAAGAAATAAACTAATAATAGAGAAGCATGCTTCCTTCTGACTCCATCTTCAGTCTTGGAGGAAACGGACCAATCAAGAGTCATCTTCCTTCTACAGTACAGGAGCTAGTGGTACAAGGAGGGAAAGAATCAAGCCCATTGACATATTGGGCTACAGTTCTAACCTCCTTTGGTTAGATGTGATAAACTGAACTTGATCTGAGGACTTCCCAGTAAGAGAAAGCCAGTTACCAAATACCCAGCAATCATAACTCAGCTAAGAGGAAGCACTGTCACCGTAACAATTGCCAATTATATCCATCGTTAGTTACGAAGACTTGGAGGGACCTTGAAAGGAGCCTACCCTTGAGCAGGGGTGGGAGAATGAGGGAATTAAATATTTACTCATTTTGTTTCATTCCATTGATTTCTCTGCGGCACTAGAAAATTACTTTTTTTTTAATTTTTTATTGTTATGTTAATCACCATACATTACATCATTTGTTTTGGTGTAGTGTTCCATGATTCATTGTTTGTTCATAACACCCAGTGCTCCATGCAGAATGTGCCCTCTTTAATACCCATCACCAGGCTAACCGATTCCCCTACCCTCCTCCCCTCTAGAACCCTCAGTTTGTTTTTCAGAGTCCATCATCTGTCCTGGTTCGTCTCCCCCTCTGACTTACTCCCCTTCATTCTTCCTCTCCTGCTATCTTCTTCTTTTTCTTTTTTCTTAAAATATGTTGCGCTATTTGTTTCAGAAGTACAGATCTGTGGTGCAAGACTGTTGAAAATTACTTTTTTTTAAAAAAAGAAGGTTGTAGTTAGTAATGTTTAATTCAGTCAAACGTGAACACGTGGCAGGGAGGTTGGTAGCACATCATCTCGACAGTAGTCATTAGTCCAAATGCCTTCGTGCAATCTACTAATAATAGTAAGGTAGTTGAGGGGAGCCTGGGTGGCTCAGATGGTTAAGCGTCTGCCTTCAGCTCAGGTCATGATCCCAGAGTCCTGGGATCGAGTCCCTCATCGGGCTCCTTGTTCAGCAGGGAGTCTGCTTCTCCCTCTCCCTCTGCCTCTCCCCCTGCTTGTTCTCTCTCTGTCTCTGTCACAAATGAATAAATAAAAATCTTTAAAAAAATAGTAAGGTGGCTGATACATGCATATAAAATTTTCCCATATAGCTCAGAAGGAAGGTTTTCATTATAATAATGATAAAGAATTACAAGTCCAAGAATAAATTGAATTATCTTCAAACAACTGAGCATTATTTTTTTCACACTTTAAGAAGACATTTACTTTAAATATTTGGAATATAACATATCCATTAAGATAAATGCTAATGATATAAAATTTATAGAATGTTTATTATCTAATACTGACTGAAAGGTTTTGTCTAAAGATTCTATTCTATACATGGATAGGTTGGGGAAAAAGATTCCTGGTTACCATGAAATCTGTATGCAATTTCTAAAGGATTCTAACATAGCTCTAGTACAAAGTACTTCACTTAGAATATTTCAACAAACTCTTAATTGGCAGCACCTACATGTTTTAATGCTCTGAATACCCACAAAGTCTTATTATAGTTAGACATCACTATTTTACCTAAAGCAAATTGTATTTCTAATTTTTTCTCTATTAGAATTTATTAGTTTCCTTAAGATACTTTTTTTAAACTAACATTGGAAAACTTGTTTGCCCATCAGAAATAAAAATCTGGATAATTACTATATTTTTAATATATGCTTTTACAGCATTTCAAAAGCAAATCTTAATTCAAACCAATACCTATAAAAGGAAATAAAAAAACTCAGTTTACTTTCAAGAGTTTGCATATGGCAGAGAGAGCAGGTCACATTTAAATTTTAACAACATAAACTATTGTATAATAAATATAAAATAAAGAAATAGACAGTGATAGCTATTATCAAGGGTGAAAGCATCATATAAACTTAAAGAGGCTGCTTTCTGAAACGTCACTGATGTAATCTGAGGCTTCTTTATCAATTTCATTTACAGAAACAATCTCTGCAGTCAAATTTATCATTCACTTTCATGCCCCCACATGAGAAGTAGTAGGTGAATATCTGTAGGAATACAATTTATTGTCTGCTCCTCCACTCAGAAGTAACCCAGTGTCTGTCCAGTCTACACTCAGAACTTTGTCTTCATGAGCAGCCAGATCATAGAGAGGAGCTTTACAACTTCTTGTATCCCACAGTTTGACGATATTATCTAAAGAACCTGAAATCAGTTGCTGCTCATGGGTAGGAGACCACTTTAATGATGTGACCCAGCCTGTATGTGAGGTTAGGGACAGCGACACCAAAGAACCATCTTTAGTTTGGGGATCCCACAGTCTGATATGCCTATCTGTGCTTCCAGATGCTAAACGTTTACAAAGTGGAGAATAGGAGATACAATTAAACACCTTATTTCCTGTCAAAGTTGACTTAAGACTGCCAGACTCTACATCCCACACCCTAATTGTGTGGTCCCAAGATACACTGCAGATTTCTTCAGCATCTGACCATAGAACCGAAGAAACTGCTTCCTTGTGGCCAGAGAGGGTCACTATGGGAGTCCTTGTTAGTCCCAACTGCTCTGTTTTCTGTTTCTTTCTTGGTCGATTTGTGGATTCCTCCATTTCATCTTCTTCATCTGTAGGAACTGTAGACCAGATCTTTAGCATCTTATCCCAGGAGCCACTGCAAAACTTAGTTCCCGTGCTGTCAACAGCTATAGAATCTGCACTTCTGTCATGGCCTCTGCAGCAGTGCAGGGCTTTCACTTTGTTTCTCTCCACATTCCACTCCCACAAGAGAATCGTCTGATCCACAGAAGCACTCAGTAGTAGGCAAGACAAACTATCTTTTTTCACCCAGGCCACATCTTTTACAACGTCTGTATGTCCCACAACTGTCATTATTGACTTTCCTTCCAAGGACCAGATATCTCCGAGAAGTCTTATCATAAGAACCAGTCAAGATCCATTCCTCTGCCCCTCGGACAGAACTGATCCAGTCATCATGGAACATGCATCGCTTTGGCTGAGGGGCAGGCTACTTCTCCACATATTCCAATTCCACAACCTCTTCTGATGAGATGTTTTCCAGTTCCATGTGTTTGAGCAAGGGCATTCGCAGAAACTGGCCCTTGATAAGGAAGTCGAACTCCACATGTTTGTGGAACGCATTTTTGGCCTCCAGCAATTTATTGATGATGTCACTAAGGTCAGCAATTTCAGAGGCTGCAGGAATTGAGAAGGGAACATCATCTCCTGCATATTTCTTGTTGTCAGTGAAGAAGCGTGTCTGGAGCTGAGCCACGGCTAGGAGTACACACAAGGCTTGTCTACAGAAACGTAAGGGGTAATAGTCAGACAACAGGCTCTCTGGTCTCTTAAGACTACAAAGAGAGGCAGCTCAAAATTAGCTCGCACAGATACGCGAGAAGATGCAGTCTTCTGGGCTTCCGCTTTCCTTGAGAGAGAGAGAGAGGCTCTTAAGCAGGCTCCACACCTAGCACGGAGCCCGACACGGGGCTCAATCTCACAACCCTGAGATCATGACCTGAGCAGAAATCGAGTCGGACGCTTAGCCGACTGAGCCACCCAGGCACCCCTCACAGTTAGATCTTTAAACCATTTTGAGTTTATTTTTGTCAGTGCTATAAGAAGGTGGTCCAGTTTCGTTCATGTGCATGCAGCTGTCCAGTTTTCCAGGCACCATTTGTTGAAGAGAACGTCTTTTCCTCATTGGGTATCCCTACCTCCTTTGTCATAGATTAATTGACCATAATTTCGTGGGTTTTTTTCTGAGCACTCTATTCTGTTCTATTGATCTACATGTCTATTCTTATATCAGTACCATACAGTTTTGATCACTACATCTTTGTAGCGTGTCTTAAAATCTGGGATTGTGATAGCTCCAGGTTTGTTCTTCTTTTTCAAGATTGCTTTGGCTCCTCGGAGTCTTATTTTATAGTTCCGTAAAATTTTAGGATTATTTGTTCAGTTATGTGAGAAGTGCAATGCTATTTTGATAGGGATTGCATTAAATCTGTAGGTTGTTTGGGGGTAGTATGGACGTTTTAACAATGCTGGTTCTCCCACTCCATGAGCATGGAATAGCTTTCCATTTGTTTGTGTCATCTTCAATTCCTTTCCATCAGTGTTTTATAGTTTTCAGAGTACGGGTCTTTCACCTCCTCGGCTAAGTTTATCCCTAGGTATTCTATTCTTTCTGGTGCAATCGTAAATGGGATTGTCTTCTTAATTTCTCTTTCTGCTACTTCATCATTAGTCTATAGAAATGCAAGAGATTTCTGCATATTAATTTTATATACTATGACTTTACTGAATTCCTTTATCCGTTTTAGTTTTTTGGTGGAGGCTTTATGGTGTGGAGGTATGTTCCCTCTAAACCCTTGTTGAGGGTTTTGATTGTGACTGAATGCTGTAGTTTGTCAAATGCTTTTCCTGCATCTATGAAAATGATCATATGGTTTTTATCCTTTCTCTTGCTAATGTGATGTACCGTATTGATTGATTTACGGATAGTGAATCATCCTTGCGCCCTGGGAATAAATCCACCAAAAGCAAGATTGAACTATTGGGACTACACCAAGATAAAAGGCTTTTGCATAGCGAAGGAAACCATCAACAAAACAAAAAGACAACCTACAAATGGAGAGAAGGTATTTGCCCCTGATGTGTCCAGTAAGGAGTTACTATTGAAAATGTAAAAAGAAGTAATACAACTCAACACCAAAATAATAAATAATCCAGTTTTTACGAATGGGCAGATGACATGAATAGACATATTTGCAGAGAAGATATACAGATGGCCAACAGACAAATGAAAAGATGTTCAACATCACTCAGCATCAGGGAAATGCCAATCAAAACAATGAGATATCGCCTCACACCTGTCAGAATGTCTAAAAGCAAAAACACAAGGAATAACAAGTGTTGGGGAGGATGCAGACAAAAAGGAAACTTTGTGCGCCCTGGGTGGGATTGCTAGCCGGGGCAGCTACTGCGGAAAACAGTAAGAAGGTTAATCAAGGGAGGTAGTCACGTGCCAGTGGCCTCACGAGAAGGCTCTGTGGGGGGCGGGGGGGGGGATGGTGCCTGCTGGCTAGGGAGCCCAAGTGACGTCAAGCACCGAGAGGCGGAGCTTCCCGAACTAGGCTCCACCTCCTCAAGATCGGCTGGATCCGGAAATCTCCGCCAGCACAGCGAGCCCGCGTTGGCGGGAAGCAGCCCCATGTGGGGCTGTCTGCGCAGGCGCCGTGGGCACTCCCAGCTGCCTTGGGCGCGAAGGGGCGGAGCTTCGTGAAGGCTCTCAGAGTCGGAGCCCTTAGCGGAGAGTGCGGGCGGCTTTGTGGCGGGCTCTGGGGAGCCGGGCGCGGTAGCTATGCAGGCCCCAGACGGCGGCGACGACGGCGGCGGCGGCGGCGAGGCCGGTGCGGCGGGCGGAGCGGGCGGAGCCGGGGGCCAGGACCGCCAGCCTAGCCCCGGAGCTCCTGGTTGCCAGGGGCGCTCCGGCAGCCCTGAGGGCGATGGTGGCCCCGGCGGCGGCGGCGGCGGCGGCGGCGGCGAGAGAGCAGAGGCCGAGGAGGCCGGTGATCCTCCTCAGGCCCGGCAGGCACCGCAGGCCCTGTGGCCTGGTGGGGATGCGGCGCCTGTAGCTGTGGCAGCGGCAGGCCGACTGCTGGAGTTGTATCCTTTCCACGGAGCGTCCCTGGGCGGGGGCCGCGGTGCGGTGGCCGGGGAGCGCGGTGGCAGCGGGGGCGAGGGGCCCGGTGGGAGGCGGGGGGGGGGGGGGGGGGGGGCGGGGGCGGCAGGTGCTGGGGTCGCGTCTCTGTCTTCGAG